ACGGCACATAACAACAACAACAACAACAGCAGGGCTACCCAATCTCCCTTCCTCTTAGTTCAGTGTTCATGCAGTTTCTCTCTTACATTGTTATTGTTGTTAGATGTCTCCAAGTACATTCCAAATCACAGTGACCCCATGTGACAGTAGAATTGTCCCATAGGGTTTTTCTAGGCTGCAGTCTTTATGGGAGCAGATTACCCAGTTTTTTCTCCTGCAGAGCTGCTGGGTGGGTTCAAACCTTTTGGTTAGTAGCCGAGTGCTTAACGGTTGTGCCACCAGAACTCCTTTTTTTAGTTTGAGCTGTGAATGGTGAACCAAAGGGGAATGGAATGTAAGAAAAACTTGTATAGAGGAGGAAGAAAAAATGTGTTCCTTCTTGTTATGGATTGAATCCTGTCCCCCTAATATGTGTGTTGGAATTCTCACCTTGTACCTGAGGTTGCAATCCCATTTGGGAATAGGGCTTTCTTTGTCATGTTAATGAAGCCCTATCAGTACAAAAGGAGATTAGGCACAGAAGCAAAGAAGCACAGATGGGGAAGACTTGATGCCACAAGGAGAAGCTGAAAAGAGACAAGGACCTTCTCCTAGAGCTGACATTGAGAGAAAGGCTTCCCCTAGAGCAGGGAGAGGACAGAAAAGGCAAAGGGGACTGGAACAGATCAAGGAGTCAGCCACAGGGATCCAAGTAAGGGGGGTTGGAGAGGTTTCCAACAGCTAAGGGAGACAAACTTGTCTGTCGGTTTGTCCTACTGTGGTGATATGTGCTGTGAGTCTTGAGGCTGTGCCCCTGGTGTTTCAAACCCAGTGGGGTGCACATGGTGCACAGGTATCAGCCGGGCTTGCAGAGACAGACTAGGAAGAAGGAAGAAGCCATCCACTTCTCAAAGAATTGGCCAGGGAAAACCTTATGAATAGGAGAGAAAGACTGTCTGATACATTACTGTGCAACTTTATGAAGAGTCTGGGAACACTGTCCAATACAGAGGAGGAAGATGAGTCACTTAGCTTAGAAAGCTCTCAAAGTAGGACTGGGCAAGAGCTACATTATCAGAGTAAAACCAGCCTTACTCATATGGATAAGGTAAAGCTTTCGAGACCTCCAGTTGCTGACGTGGCACCACTCAAATTGAGGAGAAACAGCGGCAAACATCCATTAA